TGCAGACAGGCAAGAGGGGAATTTGCCCTCCAGTTGGATTACCCCTCCCACCTGGGTGTGGGGGAGCTCATATGCTGCCACAGCCAGGATAGACGGAACTCTCCCCTCCAGACGGGGGACCCATCACACTTGGGTGTCTTTGGGAGCTCATACACCACCAAAGCCAGGGTAGAGTGGACTCTCCACTTCAGGCGGGAGAACCCTTCCACCTTGATGCCCTAGTGAGCTTCTATACCATTGCAGGAAGGGTATAAGGGACTCTCCCCTCCAAGAGGGAGACTCCTCCCACCTCAGTTTCAGGGGAGCTCCAGTACCACAGCAGCCAGTATCGAGGGGAGTTGCCCCTTTACCCGGGAGAGCACTCCCACCTGGGTGTATGGGGGAACTGTATACCTCAGCAGCCAGGTTAGAGGTGACTCGACCCACTGGGTGAAAGAACCCTCCAACCTGGGTGTCAAATGCAGCTCACATACCCCAGCAGCCAGGGTAGAGGTAACACACTCCTCCAGGATGGAGACACCTCCCACTTGGGAATGGGGGTAACTCCTATACCGCCTCAGCAGGGTAGAGGGGACTGACCCCTCCAGGCCAAAGACCCCTCCCATATGGGTGTCTGGCGAGAGGGTGTTCATATACAGCTGCAGCGTGGGTAGCAGCCACTAACCCCTCCAGGCGGGAGATCCCTCCCTCCTGGGGGAAGGAGGGGCATTTATACCTCTGCAGCCAAGGTTGAGGGGGTTCGCCCCTTCTGGTGGGAGACCCTCACACTTGAGTGGGGGAGAAGCTCATATACCTCTGCAGCCAGGGTAGTGGGGACTGGCCCCTGGAGGCAGGAGAACCCTCCCACCTGGGTTTATTGGGGAGCTTATATACCACCTCGGGGATTTGCCTGTCCATGTGAAGACCACTCCTACCTGTGTGTGGGGGGGGAGGGGGCGCTTATATAGCGTCTTAGTCAGGGTAGAGAATATTTGCCCCTCCAGGCATGAGACCCCTCCCACCTAGGTGTAGAGGGGATCTCCTATACCACTACAGCCAGGGTAGAAGACTAGCCATTTCAGGCGTGAGACCCCTTCCACCTGGGTTTCTGAGGGAGCTCCTATACAACCGCAAGCAGTGTAGAGGGGACTCTACCCACCAGGCAGGAGACTCCTCATACCTGCTTGTCATGGGAACTCATAAACTGCAGCAGCCAGGGTAGAGGGGGACTTGCAGCTCCTGGCAAGAGACCCCTCCCACCTGGGTGTCAGAGGCAGATCTTATACACCTGCAGTCAAGATAGAGGGGACTAGTAACTCCAGTCGGGAGACAACTCCCATATGGTTGTGGGAGGTGGAGCACGTATACCTCTGCAGCCAGGTTACTGGGGACTTACTGCTCCAGGCAGGAGACTCCTCCCACCTGGGTTTCTTGGGGAGCTTGTATACCACCTTGGCCAGGATAGAGGGAACTTGCCTGTATGTGTGGAAGACCACTCCCACCTGTGTGTAGGGGGGTGCTAATATAGCGCCTTAGCCAGGGTAGAGAAGACTTGCCCCTCCAGGCATGAGACCTCTCCCACCTGGGTGTAGGGAGGAGTTCCTATACCACTGCAGCCAAGGTAGAGGTGACTCCCCACTCCAAGAGAGAATCCCATCCAACCTGGGTGTCAGGGAAAACTAGTATATCAGTGCAACCAGCATCAAAGGGACTTGCCCTTCAGGTGGGAGAACCCTCCCATCTTGGTGGGTGGGGGAGCTTGTATAACACAGCAGACTGAGTAGAGGGGACTTGCCCCTCCAATCTGGAGACCCCTCCCACCTGGATGCCTGGGAGAGTTGGTATACCCCCTCAGCCAGGGTAGAGGGGAGTCACCCCTTTACGCAGGAGACCCCTCCCACCTGGGTGTAAGGTGGAGCTTGTATACCACTGCATCCAGGGTAGAATGGAATCACCCCTTCCCCAGGCAGAATTCCCCTCCCATCTAGGTGTCAGGTGGAGCACATATACCCCAGCAGCCAGGGTAGAGGCAACTCACCCCTCCAGTTGAGAGACCCCTCCCACCTGGGTTTTGGGGGAGCTCCTGTACCTCCGCAACCAGGGTATAGGGGACTTGCACTTCCAGGCAGGAGACCCCTCCCACCTGCATGTTGGACGGTGGGACTCATATACTGCCACAGCTATGTTAGCAGGGACTCGCCACGCCAGGGTGGACACCCCTCTTACCTGGGTGTTGGGGGAGCTTGAATATCTCCATAGCCAGGGAAGAGGGGACTCGCCCATCCAGTTGTAGACCCTTCCCAAGTTGTTGTGGGGGGACCTGCTGGGTTCAGACCCAAAGGACTTGAAAGCATTGGGTCCAAAAGACACTTGCATATCCTGAGTTCACAGAAACCCTGATCCCCAGTATGACTGGGGACTAGGGAAAAATTATCTTAGTGGGGTGTGGGGGAGATAGGGCCAAAATGGGGGCAAAAGAAATGGTCTGAGTGGGGGACTTTGAAGGCCAAAGGATCTTAGATAGTGTGGGGAATTTTCTTATTTTGGCTAAACTGTGTACATGATGTCATACAGGCTTGTAGAATTGTATTCTGTTCTGAGCCCTTTATTCTCAGGATTAGCAAATCACTAACTTTACTCAAATCCATCAGCATGCATCTGTCTATATATCTATCCATCTGTCTATGTACCAGCCATCCCTCCTTCCACCCATCTGCCCATTTTCTCTTCCATGCATCATGGATTTGTGTATTTACCCACCCATCTAGCCATCCATTCAGACATACATACATCTTCCCATCAGTCCATGCATCCTCCCACCCATTCACCCATACTTCCATTCATCCAGGGGCACTTGGCCACTTCACCACACCCCCAGCCCTGTTTTGTATTTTATTTAGAGTCAAGATCTTAGCACCCTATTTTTTGCTGATGCTGGCTTGAAAAAGCAATCCTCCTGTCTCAGCCTCCTCAGATGCTGGGATTACAATCCTGCACCACCATGCTTGTACTTCTTATTTCCTCATTGGTATCATAACAGCTTGGAGTCACCATCTGGGGTTATTTTCTCAGATCCATCACAGTTATGCTCCCACCCACCTTGTTTGAACCACAGTGAAAAAGGGGGCTGGGGATGTAGCTCAGTGCTAAAGTGCCCCCACCCTCAATTCAATCTCTACATGGGGGACAATAAAAGCACCTGGAATTCAATTCTCGGCTCTGGGCAGCTATGTGTCCATGTTTCCACACTTTTTACACAAGAGCCCCCCTTGTCCATGGGCAATATTGTTAGGTAGAATGAATGTGAGACACTGTGCAGGATGTGAAAGGCTTCACAAAGTCCAACTTAAGAGAAGAGAATAAAATTGTATTTACTTTCCATTATGGGAGTTAATATGACAGGCTGTATTGGCCACAAGTGGCAAATTTTTATGTTTTATATGCGGGCTTTCTGGCAGAGCTGGGCAGGGTTATTATTTCTTTCTGGTTTAACTATCAGTTGAAACCCAGGAAGCTGAGAGTGCTGGGTCAGATTCTGGGGGTACGTTGCTTCCTAGGCAGGATGCAGATGGGCTTGTGGCTTTTCCTGAAAATGTTGGTGCATCTGAAACCTTGACATGGAAAGGGTAGAAAAGAGGGGAACTTTATACTGAGAGAAAATAATGAGGTCAGTCTGTGCAATAGAATGACATATTTCAAGGGGCAAATGAGCTTGAGCTCACAGACATGTTATGAGACTACAGATGCCTAAAGCCTAACCTAATACAATTTTACATGTTATGATATTATTTGCATATCACCTATTGCAATAATAATACAATATTATTCTTTTACAATAAATACAAACTCCTACATACAATTTCCCCTATACATTCATGGCAATGATTTCCCATTCTAGAAAATCTCAAAGCCCTTGTCAGCACCTGAACACAGGGTAAGGACAGGGTTTCCTTGTCTCCCTGGTGTAGCTGCACTGGTAAAAGTTCCTTTCCTGCTTTCAATCAATGCCTTTTCTTTTTGCTTTTAGGGCAAACAGCTGACCAGACTTCTCGAATCAGCAGAGTCAGTCTGTACATAAGAATTGATAATAGTAGAATGTAGACTATCTACATTGAGCACAAGGCGCCCATTTTATTTCCACTGCACATTGCTGTTTTAGAGGGTTGGTTACCTCCCCCAACCCCACCCCTTTCTCTGCTGGGGATGGAACACTGAGCCACAGCTCCAACCCCAAATGTTTCCTTTTATAGCTCAGGCTGCCTCCTCACAGATCAGAGGCCAGGAGGTAATGAGAATTACTAAAATAATTTTCAAATTGTTTCATTAGTAAATATTATATATATATATATATATATATATATATATATATATATATATATATGATATATATGATATCTTTAAAAGTGTTTCAACAATTTGGAGACAGTGTCTTTCTAATTTGCCTGAGGATATATATATATATATATATATATATATAGTATATATACCCAGTGGGGTTTGACCTGGACCTCTGAGCTACATCCCCACCTTTTTCATTTTATTTTAAGAGAGGGTCTCTAGGGGCTGTGGTTGTACCTCAGTGGTAGAATGCCTGCCTCACACACATGAGGCACTGGGTTCGATCCTCAGCACCACATAAAAAGAAATAAATAAAGATTGCATCGTCTACAACTTAAAAAAAAAAAAAAAGAGAGAGAGAGAGAGAGGATCTCACTGTTTGCAGACGCTGACCTGATCTTGGGCTCCTCCAGTCTTAGCCTCCCTGAGAAACTGTGCTTTGTTTTTGTGTTGAGGTTAAACCCAGGGCCTTGGCCATGCTCTGAAAGCACTGTATGGCTGAAGCCTAGCTCAGCGATAGTTGTCACCTCTGTACCAGAGGCTAAACCAAGGCTTCCCACCTGGATTAGTTCCAAGCACAGCTGAAAAACTCCGTTTGAAAAGGGCTGGGGCTAAGAATCTGTCACTCTACCCAATTTCACCCAGTGATTGGATAATGTTATCTGTCATTCACGATGCAGAGGCGGGCCTAGAGGCCATCCATCCGGGACTCTGGGGAGAACTCTCCAATCAGTGCTCAGAGGGAGAGGAAGGGCGGGCTTCCGCAACCTCGCGGGCTTTTCTTCCTCAGCGACTCCGCTCCTCATCCTTCAAGCTGAGAGTTCTCTGCTCCAGGGACTCAGGTGACTTTGTGCAGCCTGTGTCCCCCCTCCTCTCCCCCCCCATCTCGGGTCCCTGGAGGTTCCTCGGGAGGACGCCGGGTCACCACAGAAAACAAAAATGGTGAGTTTGAGACCAAGGCTGAAGGTACGTGTCACCCGGCGTACGGGTGAGCTGGGGATGGCTGCGGAGTCCCTGCTGGCGGGTGGCCCTGTCCCTTGGTCTCATGGGGTGAGCTTGGTTTTGGGTTTTTGAGGTGAGCTGCTGAACATGGCAGAGTCCCCGCTGGAGGGTGGCCCTGGACCCTGTCCCCTGGTTCCCTGGGTTTGGAAGGGCAGCTCAGGTCCCTGGTGTCCCCTTTGCTCCCTGCTGGTGGCCCAACCCACTCTTCCCAACTTGTAGGAAGCAGGGTCACAAATGCACCTTCCTTCTCCCAGTGGAGCTCCTCTGGAGGCTGCAGTAGGTCCTCCAAATTGCAGGCGCCTCCTGCCTTCTAAAACACCACCTTCCCTCCACCTCACAGCTTACCCAGACGTTCATTCTTCCCACTGGGTTCAAATGGACACCGTCCGCTAATTGTCACTTTTCATCTAGTGAAATATTGGAAATAATATTTCTTTTCTTTTAATTGGGGATCCAAACTCGGGGAGCTTTATCAGCAAAATCCCCAGCCTCCACTTTTACTGAATTTTGAGATCTGCACCCACTTGTTGTGGAAGCTGGTCTCCAACTTGTGATCCTTCTGTTACTGCTGTTTACCAGTGATGAGTCCTTGCTTCCCTGAATGCTGAAGTATAACACCAGAGAAGTACATCAAGGCAAATGTAGCATGGAAAGTAGAAGGTTTATTAAAGGACAGCAGAAAAGACTTCTCCCCACAGGTAGAAGGGGACCCAAAAGGTGGAATCCCTGTAAGAGGGGAGTCTTCCCTCTTTTATAGCTAAAGTCTTCTTTCCGCTTTCCTACAATTTGTTTTTCATTATGTTGCAGTGATAGAATGCAGGTGGGAAGGTCCAAAAGGTGGGAGATAGGTGGGATGGAGGAGTAATCTGGGCAGGAAGGGCCTGGGGTGGCTTTTGGATTAGCACTTCCCTGTTTGCTGGGAACTGTTTCATTAACAGTTCCTTACAATGGATACAGGCCTTGGGGACATTAACATTTCAATTGCATCTCTGGTTTCCAGGACTCCATTCTCTATAAGGGCCTCTGTTTTATACATCTTACACAATATTAGACCCAATTTGCCTAACTACCTATCTGTAAATCTGGCTTCTGCTTCAGCCTCCAAAGTTCCTGGGATTACAGGCCTATATCCAGGGGGCAAAACTGTGACTTATGCAGTCAAGGGGAGAAATAGAGAATGTCCACACACTTCTGTCCCTTTCAATGCTTTATTCACTCAAATTACTGGATACAGTTTAACTGTATAGGTTCTTAATCAAGAAAACAACAATCCTTAATGTAGGCACTGCAATAGACATAATCAATTGACAGCAAAAAAATTCTAGCTTAATTAATTCACAGCAAACAATTCTACATTCATTCTAAGCACTGCAAAACACACTTAATCATGACAGGCTAATGACAGACATTCCCTCTGCATGCTAAGTTCAAAGGTCTTATGTCTTAGGCTTTGAGTCCAGCAGATGCACACTCACTCAGACCATGGTGATCATGTCTGGAACCAAGGCAGGCTTTTCCTGGTGGAGTGGATGACCAGTTGAGGGGGAGGTTGTAGAGAGGAGTTGCAGCTCTCACCAAGGTTCAGAGGAGGTAGTAGAGTTTGAGAATGGTGAGGATCTCCCAGGGACTCAGGAAAGATGCCAAGTGATGGGATGTCAGGTCCTCAGCAGGCTCTCCAGCTTAAGTGCATCCTTGTTTCAGCTGGCTGAATTCCTGTTCATCAGCTCTATCATTTATACTAAATTTTGGGGCTTTTGATCACCCTTTCAATCGTTATCAGCTACCACCTTATTTCTCAGTGACATCATTTACCCTGGGGTCATCTCCACCCTGATTTTCTTGCCTTTCCCTCTTATCAGGCAAGGACAGCCTGCCACAGGCTTCAGGGTGAGGGGAAGTAACTTGTTTGAGGCCTTACTGGAGGGATCTGTGGATGTGCCTGGTGAAACTGAAGGTCTTTTAAAATGAAGTTGCTTAGATTCAGGCCTAAGGCCATTTTAACAAGGCCTGTGCCACTGTCCCTGATAAGATGAACACTTTTGAAAGCATTTGTTTTCTATTTGTGAATATTATACTTGAGGGGAAAGAATAATCACTTAACAGTTCCCTGTGTTTGGTCAAAATAATTACTTTAAAAGGAAAAAGGCATTTGTTTATAGAATCTAGGGATATTGAATCTTGGGTTATGTACCAAGCCCCCCTGCCCCACTTTGACATAAATTATTTATTTACTTAAATTTGTTTTTATTAGTTATACATGGCATTATAATGCATTTTGACACAGCACACATAAATAGAATGTAACTGCTCCTTTTTCTGGTTGTACTTGATGTGGATTCACACCGGTCCTGTAGTCATATATGCATATAGGATAATAGTGTTTAATTCATTCTTCTGTTCTTCATCCCCAGCTCATTAAAATTGATTTTCAGATGGGGTCTGGCTATGTTGCCCAGCCTGGCCTGTAAGTCCTCACCCTCCAGCTTCAGTTTCTCAAGCTGTTGACATTAAAGGCATTGGCAATCCCAGCTATGGAAAATAGTTTATTTTGATCCAAATATTAATGACCATATTCAGGAACATGGATTCAAGTGACCCTAAATTATGTATGTGTCCCACCCTGAAAGACAAGGATTGAACCCAGGGGCACTTAATCACTGAACCACAATCAGTTCTTTTTAAGTTGTATTTTGAGACATGATCTCACCAAGTTACTTATGGCCTCACTAAGTTGCTGAGGCTCACTTTGAAGTTAGCAATCCTCCTACATTATCCTCTCAAGCTACTGGGATTACACTTGTGTGGCACTGTGCCTGGCCTACAAGAACTTTTATAAAAGAAACTGTATCACTACATGTACAATTGCATTGGTAGGATCATCAGATTGGTGGCCTACAGAAAAAGAAAGAAAGGAAGGAAGAAAAAAGAAATTTCTTCTGTTGTTATTATATTCTTACTTTCATAGATGGTGGGGACTAGATGTCTGGTAAGGGTAGTGATATATTCTGAGAAATTTAATAGTTTTGAGAATTGTGGTCTGATACAGAAATTAAGATAATTGGCTATTAAAGGGCTTAAGATAGCCCAAGATAATTTTTGCTCTCCATATAGAACCCTGCCTTTTCATGCTCATGGTGGTCTGGTTAGCCAAGTCAAGTACTCTGAAGGTTCTTTGATGTAGATGCAACTGTATAGAGAACTTTTGTTCACAGCTGTAAAAATCTTGTGCTTTTCCTTTTATCTTCCTTAGGTGTAGACACCATGTCAGATTTCTTGGGCAGAGGTTCCCTTTGGACGCCTCACAGGGTCCCATGTCCTCAGCCACTATTCTCTCCTGGAGCTGCCACAAGGTTCCCACAGCCTCCCTGCAGGGTGAACAGAATTTCAGGCCCTGGGTCAGCTCCTCCTAGAGGACAGCCTGAGATGTGGGGTGCAGCCTCTCAGGGAAGCTGTTGGGGGCCCTGGGCTGAGGAATCTCCTGGAACAGGCCTCCTCTAGACAGCTACTTCCTTGGGACATTTTTTTTCCCAAGATCTGTTCCCATTCCTTGGAGACAGGTGGACAGTCAGCCTGTGGATGCTGGTGCTGAGGGGCCAGGTCACCAGTGATTCCTGCCCTTTTAGTGTGAAGGAGCGAAACCTCTCCCAGAGCATAAGGAACACCCACCTCAGTGCAGAGCTGTGCAAACCTGAAAAGCCTCATAGACTGGAGTCATGGTCTAGGTCCCTGGGAGTGTGATCCTAGAGGCTTTCAGGAAGCAAGACCAGGAGGGGTCAAGTTCCAGATGTCAGGGACCTTCCCTGACCCTTGAACCTGACACATGTGTGCTCCTTCAGCACCAAAGCTTTCTGTGTATCACTTTGAAATGATCTGCTCACTTTTTTGAGGCCCAGGTTTATGTTTTTCAGAGCCAAATGGGATAGACTACTATTAAATAGACAAGAAAGAAATGGATTTTAAAAAGTCTAGTTACATTTCCATTGTTAAAAAATTACAGCCAGGTACACTGGTGCACACCTGTGATCCTTGCTGTTCCAGAGGCTGAGGCAGGAGGATTGCAAACTTGAGGACAGCTTAGCAACTTAGCCAGGCCTTATATGTGGGGATGTGACTTATCAATAAAGTTCATCTGGGTTTAATCTCTGATCCCAAACCAAAGAAAAAGAACAGAACAGAAAAACAAACAAACAAATAAACAAAAACATCTAATTTATCTTTTGCTATCCCTGAGTATGCATAGACAATTGGTGAGATTTGATCTTGTCTTTTCAATGATTTCCAATTGAAATCCATGTCCTAGATTCCAGAATGCCACTTAAGATACAGAGCAACTCTGTCTACCATTATTGCTGCAGAAAATGAATCCATTTCTACAAAAATTGTGGTGGATAAATGTATGAATTTGATTTTATGTAAATTAGTTACAGTTGTTGACAAGCTGATGAATTTGACAGGGGATGACAGTTTGTTGTTGCCCTTGTTGCCTGGACTTGGCAGGTTCATGTTAGCTGTGTGGTTTTTGGTATCAGGAATTGAACCCAGAGGTGCTTGGCCACTGAGCCACATCCCTGGCCCCTTTTAGATTCTTCCTTTTGAGTCTGGGTCTTGCTACATCACCTTGGGCCTCTGACCCCTAAACCACTGGGGTTACAGATGTGCACCATCACACCCATCTTCATAAGAAGTTTTAAGGACAATTTTGGCAATACCTAAAATACCCAACTGTGATCATTTAATCACTAAACAATTTATCAGTGAAATAATAAATGACACATGTTTTCTGAAAAGTATATATATATATATATATATATATATATATATATATATATATATATATATATATATATAAGTAAGGTTGCTGATCCTCTCACAAGCACTCCCACCATGTCACCTGATTCCTGTTCCCTCCTAATTACCTCCTCCTAGGGCCACCCAATTGG